TTTTTTTTTTTTTTTTTTTTTTTTTTTTTTTTTTTTTTTTTTTTTTTTTTTTTTTTTTTTTTTTTTTTTTTTTTTTTTTTTTTTTTTTTTTTTTTAAATAAGTTAATAATATAATTTAAAGCTCTATTTATGACTTAAGGTATAGCATTTTCTTAGCTCTTAACGCGATCTAGAGATATTCAAAAGATGATAGGAAGTAACTCCGTAATATTCCCTGGCAATTTGGGTTGTACCTGACCCTAACCCTAGCACTCTCGACATTTGATTGAATGGGGGCCCAACTCCGTACTAACGTTACTGGCTACGTACTCCCGTAGTTCCCGGGCAATCGACCAATCACAATGGGCAAGGCAAGCCCCGCATACTTCTGCCTGCCATTTGATATTTGGGTGTCCCCAAACAAGCCGCCGACAATGGCGCACTACAGTACAGCATACTGGGCGATAAACTGTAACGCTATGCTTTAGGACCAAACGCTTTTTGCCCCGCTTTAGATGACATGCTCGTGGAATCCCCATCTATATCCGTTGTCCCAAGAACATTGGAGCTCTAGAATCAGACATGAAGTCTATCGGATTCAAATACCAATGTCGCGAATGTGCACAGTACAGCGCAATGAACCTTATCCAAGGCCCAGGAGTCGTTGAGGAGAGCAGAAGCAATCTTTTGAACGTCTCGACTCCGAGTATTCTGGCATATGCACTGTGCTGGTGCGGTATGGCGCCGCCATATTTACCAAGGCCGATATCTCAAAGAGCGCCGAGAACGATGATGATACCCCCCTCAAGGTCACATGTCCATCGCTCACATTAATGCTCATATACTCAGAAGAAGCTACTATTCATAGACTCACGGATAATCCTTGGGTCTTGGATGCTGCCACATCCCTCGTCATCAACTTCAAGCACATAAACCAGCTCATCCAGTCTTGAAGAGAAGACTCGTATCACTACAGACATGGAACCCTTTCCTCATCTGGACCAAGATGGCCAGACAGAACATCTCTCACGGCCGTCCACCGTCCAAGGCTCCAACCGAGCCGTGGAGAATCGTCCTGCATCGTCTTCCTTAAGTTCCTCTTCCATTGGTGAACGCCTCCGTCGCGTTTCGATAAGTTTTGAACAGTCTGAACTCCCCGGAGGCTTCTTTGCCGCCACGGGCGGAATAGCTTCGTCGATTCTCTCACGCCAGCCTGTTCCTCGACCCATTTCCGACTCGACCGGCTCGTCATCTACCGAAGCACACCCTGCTGCCCTTTGCAGCACAGCAAGCACATCAACCCCATGCCAGGCTGTTTCCGAAGAAACCGGCGCCGAAGCCAGACACGATGGCAGCACCGGCACGCAAACAAAACCCAGTGCGCTGGGCGAGTCCGTGTCCGTGTCCGTGTCCGAGCCCGCGTCCGCCGCTGCGTTTGCAAACGGCTACCACTTCCCACCGAAACACACCTTCTGCGAATCGGTGAAACTCAGCGCTCTTGCCTTTTGGCATTACCTTCTCACTCCCATGGGTTTTGCCGTCACCGTTTACGGCCTGAATGTGGTGGCATGGGGCGGGATGCTGTTCCTCCTTCTCTGCGACGCTGGTACGTGAACCACCCCCC